ATTCCTCAGGCCCCCCACAGCGGAAGACCAGCAGCATGAGCAGTGCCAGGCTCAGAGGGGGTTCTCTGGATCACGGGCCTTATGCTGCTCTGACACTTTCAATAGAAACCAAAAAGGGGTTTTAATAATCCCTAATATCCGCCCACTGTGGGTAGACGCAGCTAGTGGCAGAGATGGGGGACAGCTCAGCACAACCTACAGGGCTGCAAACGGTGCTGTGGTTTAAAATTACTACTAGGGCCATTGGGGCAGAAAATGGGAACAGTGTAGAACTGCGTTGGAGTAAATGGGGAAATGGTCTTTGAAAAGCAGACAGCAAACACCGACTGCCAAACCTGAACGGGGCTGTTAATTTACACCCTGCCTTGATTCATCACCTGTATACGCATAGATTCGCACCTTTACACACACACACACACACACACACACGATTCCACAGGCAAAGAGGCAGTTGCATAAAGGACCAAGCCGTTCGGTGCCCAACTTCCAAAGTGTCACGCACAAATGCCAGTGCTGTGCACCCAAGTTCACTGCATGTGCAAAAGGGCAGGTGCAGATTTGGTGGTTGGCTCCAGCCAGTTTGACGGGTTGGGCAAACGGAGCAGCGCCCTTAGCTGAGGGCAGCAGGGCTGCTTTTACACATATTCGCCAATGCCTCGGAGGCTCTATGTTTTCCTGACAGGGGATTGCATTTTCATAGCCAGCTTCTCCATCCAGGTCGCTGGTGTATGTGACGCAAGGGGGTTTCTCTGGGCTTTATGGATCTATTGGAAATTCTGAGTGGCTGCATAGAATCCGGGACCTCAGGAGGTCATCTAGTCCCACCCCCTGCTCAAAGCAGGACCAATCCCCAATTTTTGCCCCAGATCCCTAAATGGCCCCCTCAAGGATTGAACTCACACCCCTGGGTGTAGCAGGCCAGTGCTCAAGCCACCGAGCTCTCCCTCCCACTCGCAGTCTCTGCCCAGCCTCCTGTGTTTCTTTGGAAGTGGCTGCCGGGCAGGGAGGCTGGCCGTTCTCTGGAGCAGAGCCCTGCAGCTCTTCTCAGGTTCGCTATCACCCCTGCTTTATTACCGGCAGAGTAAATTGCTTTTGTTTGCAGTGGGATAATGGTCAGAAATGTGACTCTGTGGAAATGACATTTTCATGGTGCCTATTTATTCCCCACCAGTGACTTGCATATTAAGTTTGTTCAGTTTACCAGCCAAACGAAGGGGGGTGGGGGGGTGTTTTTTATCTAACTCCTGGCACTTAAGCTCAGCCCTTTTGCTAGTACCTGACATGAGCTCTTTCTGCTTCATACACTGGCAGCAGCCGGCACCAGGGCGGATAACTGCAGCTAGAACTCGGCTGGTAGTTTTGATGCTAATGCACAAGGCAGAACAGCAATGAGCAGGCAGAAGGGGAAAGGCTAGTGGGGCTGGATCACAGGATGGGGACTCAGGAGACTGGATTTCATTCCTGATCACAGGCAAGTTACGGAACCCCTCTGCTGCAGCCTCCTCAGCTGTAAAATGGATTTAACGCCTCCTAGAGCCCGGGGCTGTTGTGACCTTTGTACATGCCAGCTGGTGGGGCTCAGCAATGCCAGCTCTCGGGGGGGGGACAACTCTGCTCTGACTCCCGAGGCGCAGAGGGGGCACCGGGAGGATGCCATGCTTCAGAGCCCCTTCCCTGAGCATGCCCATTTCACGTGCAGCTCCTGAGCTTGCTGGCCCATTGGCCGGCCAGGAGAAGAAGTAGCAAGGGAGAGCGGGAGGGAGGAACTAAAGCCCTGGGGGTATCGGGGGGCTCCAGAGCCCTAAAACAGCATCACAGAGACTCCCATGTCTGGAAACAGCACCAGCTCCAGATGGGCTGATTTCACTTGAAGTCCGTCCACAGACAGAGACCTCTCCCACCTCCAGGGGCACCTCGTGTCCGTGGAGCCCTGCGCGGACACACCATTTGGATCCGCCAACAGGCGGGTGTGGACACCCACGGATATGACGCGGAGACCTGCAGACTGGTCGGGAGCTCCCTGTCCAGCTGGGTGTCTCAGGGGTGTGGCAAACGCACAGAGGAGCCCCCCGTTGGCGAGCTGCAGGAGAGCTCCTCCGCCCTCCCCCCCAGCATTGCAGTCGGTTCCAGGTTGGCCTGTGCGAAGCCCTGGCAGTTCCCTCAGGTCGGGAGCTGCAGGGGCTGGGTGTGCTAGTCCCAGGAGCCCCCCAGCACCGGTCAGTGCACAGGCCTACGGATGGTGCCCCAAGCGAGCGATACGGCAGGCAGCTCCTGCACCCGCTTGTCCCGCGGAGACTCGAAACCAGGCAAGGAGGAAAATCCTTCCTGCTCTGCTCCTTCGCCAAAGCCCAGCAGCAGGTGCAGGGAGTTTCCCGCCAGCCCAGTTTCAGACACAGCCTTGATTTAAGGTTGGCTGGCAGCCGGCCTGGGGCATCTCTCTGCTCTGGGACCTCTGCGATGCATGTGGCAGGCATGCCAGGGTTACCAGTTGCTGGTAGAGCTGCCCAGCCATTGGCCAACAGGAGTTTGGTCCTATGTTCCAGGGGTTGTACTGTGCTCTCCTGCCTCAGCAACCTGGGGGGCAGCGGGTCTGGGAGCTGGCATGCTCTCTCCTGCTCCTGCAGGTTCAATTAAACCCAGGGAAATGAATCTCTCCTAACACAACCAGTTGTTGGTTTTACTAACTCACCTCCAGGTTCTCAGGCTATTACTCCAGACACCACCATTTATTTATTCTCATTTGTTCTGTGGGGATTCGCAGCCCTGGGTCGCTCTTGAGGCTGCTCTGATTGGCTTTCTTTTCCAGCCTTGGTCGATTAGTTTCACTATTGGTGGGGGGATGTGCTCCCCCCTCCCCCCCACGGGATAGACGCCTGCCTCTGACCAGAGGTATCAGAGCAACACAAACACACCAGGGGCTGCTCAGGGAGAGACAGACTAGCGATTCTAATTGCTACTGGGAGAGCTGGATTTCCTGCAAAAACTACCAGTCCTGGGAGCTAGTTAATATTTCTTTCCTGACAAAGTATCCTGTGTATTTGTAGGGTTCTGCACAGTTTCCTCCTGTGTTATTGTGGACCATGCCAAACTTGATTGGGTGGTGGGAGGGAGGGAGGAGGAGGGAAGGCATAGCTTTTATTATTGTCCTTGACTGCGGGCCAGGTGCTCTTCCTCTCTGTCTGGCTTTAACTGACTGACACTGGCCCTGGGGGATTTTTTAATGTATTATATACTTTGCTAAGCCATAGCCCTAGCACGCTGGAGAGGTGCAGTTATGTGACCCTGTTAGCAGGGCCATCAGGACACGGGGAGCCCTGCAGTTTGCCTTTCAGGTGGTTGTGAGGTTGCCCGCAGCCTTTGACATTCGCCAACACCTGCTGCTGCAATGGCTTCTTCTCAGGCGGCTGCTTCAGCCCCAGCAGGGCTCAGAGCTGCTCTTCGGTCATTACAAAAAGCTCCGAGTCTGGAGGATGCCGGGAAATCCGCGGATCCAGACAGCTCCTACAGGAGCCTGCCCTGGTGCCGAAGGCAGAGACGGCCCCTCCAGGCAGTTAAGTTTAATGCAGCTAGATTTCTGTAGCCACCTGGCGCAGTCCAGGGCCAACCCCTCAACTGACCTCCCCACCCTCCCTGGCCACGAGGCCTTGAAGAGTGCTCCACTTTGAGGTAAGGACATTTGTTGTGCGCCTGGAGGGAGCTCCCAAAGCCCAGGGTCTGGCTGCAGGACGCAGCATGGCGAGGCTGAGGGGTCCCATCAGCAGGGACCCAACGGAAACCTCTCCAGACGCAGCAGAAAATTAAGTGGCAAGAAAATTAATCCGAGCCTCTTTCTTTGTCCTGTGAGCAGCGGCGCAGGGCTCTGTGCGGCGGCTGGTCCCAGCAGCCGGTCAGGTTTTAAGGGTAACGGCTGGGTCTCTCCACAACGGCTCCAAATTCTGCCCTCTGCGGTGGTTCCCGTTACCCAGCACCGCTCAGCACTCCTCCCCGGCTAGCAACAGCAGTGCCCTTCGCAGAGCCTTAAGCCCGGGCCTCTCTGCACTGGGGAGTGAAGAGCCCACGGGGCACAGCTAAAAGTGCAGCAGAGAACCCTGGGGTCCTGGCCTCCCCTCCCTCCCTTCTGCTCTAGGGCAAGTGCTACCTGCAGGCGTATGGTGGCGGCAGGCCAGAGCCCCGGTGCGAGGACGCAGAGCTCCACGGCTGGGTCGCGCTGGGCTCAGGGGCTCAAAGACCCCGGGCAATGACCCCGCGTCAGGCTGGTGGGGCAGGTCACCCTGGCTAGGCGCTGAAGTGGGGGGGAGGAGCACGTTTTGGCAGAGCGGGATCTGGAGGAGTTTGTTGTTACCAATAGGGCCAAGCCCTGAAATGGGGGCAGGGCAGGAGTTCGGACATGAGGCGCTAGCTGAGGGTCCGTGGCCTCAGCCGCTTTCACAGCGCACACGTGGTGGGGGACCTCCCAGGGCCGCCCGCTCAGTCTAAGCTCCGCATGGCGCCCCCGGCAGGCGGGGCGCCAGGCAGTACGGGGGCAGGGCTGGGGTCTGCACAGCTCAGGAGGCATTTCCCGGCAGGCCTAGGCTGAGCAGAAACCCCTCCCGAGGGCTCTGGTGACGTCAGAACAACCCCCAGACTCACCCTGCTTCCAGCTGCAGGCCCTGCCCACAGCTTACAGCCAAACGCCCCAAGCCAGCCCGGAGAGAGCAGCTCTTCTCTCCCCAAGCGCCCTGCACCAGATCAGGGCCTCCTGGTGAGGCTCTGAGCCTAAGGACTGGCAGCTGCCGCTGATCGCCCAGCTGGGGCTGGGCTTAAAGTGCAGCTTTGCAGCTTAGCAGGGCCGGCAGCTGGGACCCGGGTGCGTCACGGCGGCCGGGCACCTCTGGGGGGCACTGTCCCAGGGCGGGCAGAAGGGTGCTGTGTCCAATGGCACCCTGCTCAATTATAGCGCCCAGCGTGCACGAAAAGGCCCCCTGCAAAACGCTGCTATGAACAGAGAGGCGGAGGCCGTGTTCATTTAAAGAGCTTTATTCGCTTCAGCGGGTCACAGCTTGGATCATGTGGTGCATGGGGAGGTTAGAGCGAGGGAGCAGCTGAGTTCCCCTTTCCCCTCCTCCTGTGTGACTACAGGTCAGGGGGCTGCGGGCCTCCCGCCCCCACCAGGGCTGCTCTCGCGGGCGGGCGGTAGCTCGCCTTCCCCGCGGGTGATCGGAACACATAGAAATAGGAACGCCTGCCACGGGAAGGGGGGCTGGGCTCGGCCTGTCGAATTGAACAACCAAGGGCAGGAATTCTCGGAACTGGGCTGTGGCTGCACCCACCCCCCTCCCTGGACAGAGGGACGGGTTCGACAGAGAGGGAGGGGCAGCCTGAGCCCTACAGTGGGCTGGGCACAATCAACTGTCCTCACGAGCCAGAGCCAGGCCCGAGCTCCTCCCCACTTCTCCATGAAATGCAACGGGGAAAGGGGGGGGCAGTGGGTGCAAAACCTCCCTAGAGCTCTTCCTCCCCAGGCTTGGGCTAACTCCAGGTGGCAGAGCCCTGCGCTTCCCCCCACTTAGCCACAAACCAGCCGACTTAGGGCCCGTCTTTTATCCAAATGAAATCAAGCAGGTTGGCGTTTTCTGCCCCTTCCCGCCAGCCGATGTGATGGCTTCTTAAAACCAGCTGGGCTTTCCATTCAGAGTGCCCCTCTCTTCCTCCCACAGAGACTGGCCTTCTCGGCCGGGGGGCAGGTTGTGGCAGCCTGGAAGAGGTAACTTTATTTACAGTCTATAGGAATGAGTGACATAACCTGTATCCGCACAACTGGATCCAAACAGTGTAACTACACTGGATCTCTCGAGGGAGGGAGGACGGGACTCGTGGGGCAAAGCAAAAGGGAGTGATTGCAAGATTCCCACACACAGAGAGAGCCAGATGGGTTCACTAAAGTGATAAAAAGCTAGCAATGTGAGACGGGTGTGAGCACAGTTTGCATACACTAAACCTGGCACATAGCTGGAAGCCCTGTCTGCACACGGCACACCAGGGGGAAACAGTGTGACCTGTGGCTGTAGTCCATGGAAATGAACCCCAGCCCCTCCCCTGGGCATAGACAGCAGGGAGAGCCCCTCTTACAAGCTGATGGCACAGGGGAAGCCAGACTTGTCTTCCCCGCTCTGGCTACCCCCTTCTTGGGAATAGAGCGGTCTCATTTCTGCATTCGACGCCTGGAAATGGCACTGCATCGGCTCGAGGGTACTTAAAGAAATTAAAAAATCCACAGCTACATGGCAGGGTGGGGAGAGCGGGGTACATGCGAGAGTCACAGCATGTGCGCACACGTCAGTCTCTGATTTGGAGCATTAGATTTCCATCGACCCGGCACCGCTCCGGTGGCCCAGCTGCTGCTGGTCCTCGTGCACTCCTCCTCTGCCCAGTCTGGGGGGGGAGGGATGTGGGGGGGGGGAATCCAGCAGCCCGTTCCATGCCACGCCGGCTCAGTCTACAGCAGGCAGGAGGTGTCTGCCGCCCGCTTCCTCAGCTCTTTGCCCATTTTGTGGGGGTGGTGCTGGGGGTGGGAGGGGGTGCCGCTCAGTCTGGCGTGGTCAGAGAGCTGGCCGCCCAGCAGCTGGGTGTCTTGCACATGCCCGGCGGAGGAGCCGTGGCGGTGCGCCTCAGAGCTCTCCTCCGGCTCCACCCGCAGGTAGGCCTTGACCTTGTGGTGCCGGGCTTTGCTGTCGCTGAAGTCGATCACCCGGCACTCGTACGTCCCCTCGTCGGTGGGCTTCACCCTGGAGAGCCGCAGCTTGTGGGAGATGTTACTGCCGACCACCTTCACCACCTGGTGGGGAGCGGGAGAGAGAGCACAGGGCTGAGTGCAGAAGGGGTCCAGGAACGAGCTTCCCTAACCCCCACTACGTGCCTGCTTTCGCACCAGCCCCTAGCGCGGCAGCCCGTCCCTAGCCCTCCCACTCTCCGGTCACACCTTTCTCTGCAATGCCCCCAAGCAGTGGTGGATTAACCACTGGACCAACGGGGGACCCTGGAAAAATGAGCACCCCACGTCCCAACCCGCTCTGCCTGCCTGGCGTTCCGGTCAGGAAGTGGGGTCGGGGTGCAGGGGTTTGCCCCGCTCTGTCCGCCTGCCTGCTGGGGCACAGGACTCCTGCGCCTCGACCCTGCTCCCCGGCAGGAGCACTGGATGGGCAGGAGAAGCCTCTGCACCTCAACCCCATTTCCCTGGCAGGAGCATGGGAAGCGGGGGACTCTAGGCGGAAGGGGTGTGGAGGGGCCCCCACTTGCTCTGGCCCAGGGCCCCACAAATCCCTAATCTGCCTCTGCCCCCAAGAAGGGCGCCAACAGCTCAGGCCTCGGTGGGGCCCTAGGCTTCAGAGTCACCGCTGCTCCGCTCTTGCTCTGGGCAGAGCAAATCGTTTGCTGCAGCCCTTGAAAAGCCCTCCCCAGGTCCAGAGTCCTCGGCCCACACGAGCTCCGTCTGCCCCCTGGCTGCACAGCGCCCTGGAGGGCCACCATAGCTAGAGGGAGAAGAAGAAATACGGGGGGCACGGGATCTGGGTCTCTGCTACAGCCCGTCATGAGACAGTGGAGAGAGTGACCTTCAGCGCCCGGCTGCCAAGCATGGAGATGAAGCAGCCCACACTTGTGGTACATGCCATTCGGCCAGTCCTAGGAGAAACAATCCTATTCAGCCACTGGCCGGGACATAACGCCATCTCCTCTAATGCACCCCCCTCACCTCCAGCCTTCCCAAGGCAGCAGGGCATGGCCGCTGCGCACGATGGGATCCTTCAGCCCACAGCTGCTCAGTCCCGAGATGATGAAATCCCCAGCACTCTCCACCGAGCTGTGTTTGAAGATCGATGCAGAACCACGCAGGCTAATTAGCTTTTCTACCAAATTGATTTGCTCTTAGTATTTATCACCCAATGAAATTTAAGACTTACGCACTAGTCCAAGCTGCTGCTGCTGTTGGGTGAGGTCAATAAATCAGATTTATAACCCGCCCTGAGGCCCCTGGCTCTGTTCCCTCTAATCACACTGGATGGGAAAGGCCATTTTTCTCCTTACCACTACACTGGTGAGCTGAGGAGTCGGCGGGGTTTAGCGACTGGCCTGGAGGCTGCAGCCTGGGAGTCATGAACCCCTTGCTGAAGAACCAACAGGGCAGAACCAAACCCAGCCGCAGGCTCAGAGAGCGGGAGAGACCTGTCAGTGGCCTAATGAATGGACTCATTATAGGGCTGCATGTGCTCTGCAGCTGCAGCCGTGGAGCCAGAGAGTACTGAACTGATGCCCTAAGATGGGAGTGAGGGGGTCGGGCTGGACGCACAGTTTGGGGAGCTGGCCTTACGCAGCTCGACAGCAGCCACGGATGGGGCTCTCCTGAGACCTGCAGGTGGCTGCAGATTGCAGGGTAGCAACATGTAGCTGCTCTGCCACATCCCCTTAGCAGCGTCTGCTAATGGGAATCTTAGAGAGCTGCCAATGGTCACTCCAGCTGAAAACCCAGCAGAGAATTGGCATGCAATCTCACCCTGCCCTCTGCTGGCGTGGAAGGCCCTGTGGGGCAGCAAGGAACCAGAACAGCAATGGCAAGCTGTCGCTAAGTTTTTTCACCCTGCATTTTCAAAATGCAACATGAGAGTTAGCTGGGCAGGAAGCTGCCAGGGAGTCAAATACTGTTGATGAATTTTTAGAATGGGCTGGATAATTTTGTGACCAAAACTCACAGCTGTAGCTGCACAGACTAGGGGGAAAGGGTCAGCAACTCTCATGCTCCTGATGGCAGCAAGGTCAGGAAGGAATTTAAATAGCTGTTTGCATTTATATCGCACTTTTCATCCGCAGATTTGAGAGCATATTTGCAAAGCAGAGCAAAAGATCATTATTCTCATTTTACAGATGGAGAAATTGAGGCCCAGTGACTGGAGACCAAGGTCACGCAAGGAGACATGAGTCCCAGTCTGCTGCTCTGTTCCACCGGACAATGCCATTTCTCCAAGTACAGCATTGTGTCCAGCCCCGGCTGTCTCCCCTTGAGACAGATACTGCTGAGATGGGGAAGGCTAGAGGTCTGGCTAGAATTTACAAACAACACCAAGTATTGCAGACCCAAGGATTATTCAGCCTTGAAGGGAAGTGAGCTAGCTGGTCCTTGCTGAAGCTTGGGAGATTCTGAAGGGTGTTATGGGAAAGGATCAGTTCCTCCTTTTAACTTTGTATTACAAGAACAAGGAGTCACTTAAAGAAATTAATGGCTGGCAAATTTAGCACTAATAAAAGGAAACCTCCTTTGCAAATCTTGCAGTCAGTCTGTGGAATTTGCTGCTCTAGTGGGTCTTAGAGTCCCATTTTGGGGCTGGATTATAAAAGGGCTGGATAATTTTATGATCACTAATAATATCTGCAGTGATGCAGGCTGAGATAAAAGTAATGAAATGTCATGCTTCAGGGTGTGAAGTGACCGCCACAGGGGTCAGGAAGGAGTATTCTCCCCTGGTGCAGCACTGGACTCTGGGCTAGATGCTGGAGGGTTTCTTTTGTACCCTCTCTCTGATGCACTGGATATTGGCCATGCTGCAGCTGGACACCGATCGCCTTGGTAGCCCAGCAGTCTCTCCTGGCATGGCCAACGCTGCCCTCCTAGGGAAATGCAGTCGCTGTAAGGGCGTAACTGCCCTTCGGTGACAGCCCGAATGCACCAAGCCAGCAGTTCGCTAACGAACCCAGAGACATGGGCACTTGCTGTTGCCTCCCAAGCAGCTGGAATAGCACCTTGAAATGCCACCCAGGGCTGAAAGTTTGGAACCTCCCCCCCGTACAGACTCCTTTGAAAGCGGCCTAGTGCAAGGCTGAAGTCCCCCTTAGTCCCCCGGGCGCACAGGTCTGGAGCTGACCTCTGCGCGGGGCTGAGTTTCATCCTGGCTGAAAAGACGTGAATGGGGATTGAAGCAGTCAGCTTCCGAAGGTGGTTCCTGGGCTGTAATGCAATCGGAATCTCTGAGACTGAGAACCTTATTTATGATCTGACTACGTCTGAGCGGGCCGCAACCGGCTCAGGGAGCTTTCAGTGCAATGTTTTCCGCACGTCGTTCACAGAGCCCTGCTTTGCTTTCTGGGGCCGTTAGTTTTTCCTCTACTTGCCCTTTGGACCTTGCGCACAATTTATCACGGTCACTTGCAGGGACGGCTCATCTCCCTGCATTTCTTTCCCAGTCTTGAAACGTTTAATAAGCACGGGCATTTAAAACAACAATCCATCAATAAATGTTTTCAAAAGCGAATCTCTCCCCGTGGCCTGAGCTGGAGGAGTGTCACACCCAGCCTGCCTGGGAATCAATCGTAGTTACGCAGGGAAAGGTGCTGCTCACACTCGGGCATGCAAGTAACTGCCTCATTATGCTGGGAAATGCAATTGCGCAGTTAAACAGAAGACCCCGGCCCCAGGATCATTCCGCAGCTTCTGCCCTCGTGGCCTCCATCTGATTCCCTTTGCGCTCCCCCCACTCCTCTTGCTAGCTGGGAGTGACGCCGTGGGGAGCGGGGGTCCCAGCTGGCTGGGGCTGAGGGAGGGCCGGTGAGCTTCTTTAATGTTACGCCTTCAGTCTTCACCACGCAGAGCAGAGCAGCTGGATGCCTGGCGGCCTGGGCATGAGGCCAGTGAGCAGCTGCGGATTGTCCCAAATGCCCATGGGTCTCCGCTAAATCGTGAAGGCACCACGGTCCCTCAAAGGGAAGCCAGGGTGCTCAGCACCTCCAAGAGGCATTTGCCGCATGGCCCCAGGTGAGCACTTACCGGGTCCATACACATTGGACAGGCAGGGGCCAGACTGATGGGCCCTGAGGCAAACCCCATGCCAGACAACCCTGGCACCCCCAAACGGAGCAGGCTCACCCAGGCCGTCTTGGGCCGAGTAGCTAGGAAGTCAGAGCTGGTGCTGGATTTAGGTGGAAACCAGCCAAACCTTGGCAGGTTCCAGAGAGCTCTGGAATCACTCGAAACCAGCCCAGAAAAGGGAAGTCGCAAAAGGAGCGGGCCTGGTGTTTCGCAGAGCTTGCTTGCCTGGCAATGCTGCTGTTTTTAAGCTCACCCCTGTGACGCAGCGTATCCCACCGAACCTGCTCGGTCACACGCACGCCCGGCTTTCCAAAGGCACCCGAGCAGGCGCACCTCTCGTTTCCAAAGGTCCCGCCAGCGAGCGTTATCCGGGACAGGCTGGGACCCGCTGGAGGAGGGGAGCGGGGAGCTGGACCCAGTGCCATTTTGTGTAACCCTCCCACCACTGCCCTTGCCCGGGCAGGTAGCTGATCCAAACCGACTGGGCTGGCATCCCCAGGCCTCTCACCAGGCTAGCGCTGCCGGGGTGTCAGGGAAGGAAAGCACTGGGGGCTGAGATGGGGATATTTTCGCCTTGTCCATCAAGGACTTCTTCCAGCGTGTGTTCAACCCAGTCTGACTCAGCCACACCAGCTGCAGCCATTCCCCACTGTGTGCCTTGTCGATACTGCACCTGTAACCACCAAACCGGCGAATGGACTGAAACTACAAAATCCTGCATTTCTGCAGTGTCCGCACGTCACACAGTTCCCAGCCCCGGCTGTGACAGCACCCCAGGGTGCACGCGAGGCTGGTGCGTCGTGCGACGCTCCCGCATTACTCCAGCGTAGCCGGTCGGTGTGCTGTTAAGGCACACCGTAATATGGGGTCAGGAAGGAATTTCCACGAAGGTCACGTTCCAGGATTAGCTGGGTTTAGCTCACTGAATTGCCACAACAGGGACCTCAGACATGCTGCCCCTCACCCCCACCTATTCTCCGCCTGTGCACAGAACAGTCTAAGCCCCCGGGGGCTGTAAGTGGGTGGGTGCCGGTGGCCTGTGAGACACAGGAGGTCAGGCTTGACCTGGTGGTCCCCTACTAGCCTTAAAGTCTACGTCTCCGAGTCCAGCGATGGTGGTTTACCCATCGCCCACAGCAGCCTGCTGAGACTGTCCGGGAGTCACCTCCCCACCGCTGAATGCAGCAGCTGCGACAGCCCCCGGGGTTTGCAGGGGAGAGCGAAGCCCGGGCACAATTACACAGGAGAGCCTCTCCCTGGAATCTGGCCCTGGCAGGTGGATTGACGTCCCTGAGTCTTATGAAAAGGTTTTGTGTGCTCGGATGACCTCGCGTAGCTGGGATCGCCGTTTAATCTCTCTTCAACGGCGCGGTGACACCCTATTTCCCAGAGACGCTGAGGCGGAAGGGGAAGCATCACTGTCTGCAACAGTAACACGACGTGGGTGTTCCTGGAGCTCTCCCGTATGAACAGAGAGCAACCTCCAGAGGGTTCACGAGACCATAGCCCTAGGTTGCTGCACAGAGTCCAAGCAGTGCCCACACCTGAGCCAAATTCAGACTTGTGCAACCCCACTGAAGTAGCAGAGTCCCTGGATGCCGGCTCTGAATCGGGCCCTGAGAACTTTTGAAACAGCAGGACTCTCACCAAGGTGAGCTGTTCCAATCTCAGCACCGAGGCAGTAGCCCAACGGCTGCTATAGAGAAATTTCAGCTAGATCAGGGTTCTAAACGTGTCCACATGTTTGAAATAAATTCCCGGCGGGACAACGTGTGAAGGGTGATGAATGTGGGCTCAACATTTTGGAGACGACCCGTCTGACTAGGTCCAGGGGGATATGCTCTGTGTGCTGGACTCCATGGGGGGAAGTCATTATTGTCAATAAGATTTACCCATGTTAATCCCCACACATTGAAATGAGAGTACATGCCCCTAAGTCATAAGACTTGAAGTTCGATCAGCCTGGAGGTTTCCAGTAGCCTGAGAATGTATCTGTATTTTCAGGGCCCAATCCTGTGAGGTACTGAGCACCGTCAACTCCTGCCAAAGAAGACAGGAGTTTGGAGAGTGCCCCAGCTCGCGGGGTGAGCTCGGCGGTTTAACGCGGCTCAGAACATAGGAGTGATGTGCTGGGCTTGCTCGGACCTTCCTCGTGCTAGCTCAGGGCTCTGAAAATCCCAGGCAGTCAGAGCAATGGCAATTAGAACCAGGGCTTTTAAAATATGATGTTATTTTTGTCAGCCCCGGCCTTGGCAAAACCCGCCTCCACCCTGAGCTGTGAGATAATTGAGAAGCAAGACTCTGTGACGCACCTGTCTTATCAGAGCCAGAGCAGCGAGAGCACTCGCGGGAGCCAGACCGACAGGGAGGGAACAAAGACGCCAGTGACAGCAGGCGGCCAGGACCATTTATTTTATTTAACTAATTGGTGTCTCCTTGTTCTGTTCACGTGAGCCGAAATGACTCTGGCCTCCGAATCCGCTAAGTCAATTTGATTATTTTCTCCTTAGTGTAAATGTGTTCCCTAGATGCCTCAGGAACTCAAAGAAGATCTATCCTGGGCTGTCTGACACCCTCCGTTCGGGGAGTATGACAACTGGCTGGTGATGAGTTTCGGGGCTTTCCCAGAGCTCAGGCCAGCTCGGATTGAAGCAGCTGTGCTCTGGGGCGGTGACGGGAAGGGTGGGGCCTGCAGCGAAGGTGCAAGCCTGGGACTCGGGCGATCAGTTTCCAGCTGTGACCCAAACACCCTGTGTGCGAGGAGCCAGTCGCTCCCTCTTGGGGCCAGGTTCTCCTCAACATCGGCAGGCAGCGTACAGGGGCCATAGTAGGACTGAGAATTCGGGTCTTTGGGCCTCAGCTCCCCGCCTGTAACCCAGGGCTGGAAACCTTACGTGGGGCTGTCTGGTCTGGTCAGACCGTGAGCTCTCGGGGGCAGGGACTGTCTCTCGCTACATGTTTGTGCCACCCCCAGCATGCTGGGGCCCCGCTCGCAGCCAACACATCCAGGTGCCCAGGCAATGCTCATAAACAAGTGCGAAGGTTCAAGGCTGCAGCCCTCCTCATGCCAGCAACCCGCACTCATGCAAGGAGCCCCACCAGAGCCACAGGCCTGAGCGCTCCTGCAGGGATCCAAAGTTCCTTGCCGCCCATGAACTCCACTGGGGAAGGAGGGCTCTCAGCACCTCACAGCATCGGACCCTTCACATCAGCTTGTGCAGCGACTGAGCTCCCAAGTTGGGTGGACACCACACCTGGCTGTGTGGGGCTAGCTGGAGCCGTGGGATGACCCAGCAGGCATGTGCCTAGCAGCCCAAACGGTCCCAATGCTCCAGTTCGGAAGCGCTGCTGCAGTGTATCCCTCAGTCAGATTTTCCCTCTGGATTCTCCAGCCCGAGAGCGCCCCGTCTAGCAGCCTCAATGGAAGCAGAAGGGAAGCCAGAGTCTTTGGCCCAAACCATTTCTCTCTCTCACTGCCCTCCCTGGCAAAGGCCTATGACGTGATTTATCACGAGGTCACTGGGCAGAGAAAGGGCACCGCTCCGCCGGGCCCGACAGCAGGCGCTTAAGACGACCCCAAAGAATTTTAAAACACTGCAGAAAACATAATTGCTTCAAGGGCTAAATGAGTCATTTTGTTCTAATGGCCCCAATTCAGGAAAGCGAATAAGCACGTACTGCACTGTACATCAGTGAGACTTGAGTGCACACTTAAATGCTCTCCAGAATTCAGGCTTAGATTCCAAAGCAAAACCCCCGGGAGAGACTCACTCCGCACAGTGCCCTGGGTTGCAAGCCTTCACTGTGGAGTGGCCACCAGGTCCTGACCACAACATGCACTGGTTCTCCCACCGGCAGCTTTTCAAACCGAGTTGAAAAAAATCTTTGGTCTTTAAAAAACAGAACCGTGCAATTTTTGCCCAAGCTTCCAGTGTCTCGGAGACCAAAGTTACAGCTGTACCCTCAATTAAAGCCCCTCGCCAGAAATCATTATCCAAACTCACGCTTATTTTTGTCGCCTCCTTCCCAGCTTCTTCCTGCTGAGATGCTTTTAGCTGTGGGGAAGGGAGGAATGGGGGTGGGGAGAGAACAGAGAGAAGACAACCCATTAGTTCAGCTGAAAGGGGAGAAAAACCCATCAGACTAATTCACACCTCAGCCCGTAATGGACGCTTCAAAGGCAGGCCAGAGAAGAGGGGCTGGCAGGGAGAGCTGGCGTTTAGGTGGTGGAGGTAGCGTGGAGGAGGGGAAGCAAGCGTGCTACGGAGTGAAAGTTCCAGCTGTGAAAGGAAAAGAGGAAAAATTTATCCTGCTTCAGCCTTTCAGCGCTGAACGCTGCACCTGGAAAAGGCACCAGTCCTGCCTGCTAGCACCGGCTGCTCCCGGCCAGAGAGACCTGGCAGACTGCAGATTAGAAAGGAGTTTGCAATGCAAGGTGATGACACCAGGCTGTAACAGGCAGAGAGGCACCAGGCCAGAGACTGGGGAGATGCTCCATGCTGAGAGCACTCCGAGGATGCTGCTGTCAGCTCTGGGCCCCTCCACACCAGGCAGATGATGACAAATAGGAAGGCAAAAGCTGAATGAAGGGCCTGGGGTGAATGATTTATGAGGAGAGATTAGCAACATGCCGCTGGGCTAAATGGTGGCTAAGGAAGGCAGGGATCACTGGGATGGATGGCCAGGAGTAATAGGACCAGTCTGGGAAGAGGAAAATGCAGGCTGGATATCTGGAAACCCAGACTTCAGAGCAGGGAATAATCCGCCCAGGGGAAGGGGGTCACTGGGCCCAGTGATTTAAGGGTGGTCTGGGAAGAGCCCTGGAGAACACACTGGGCAGGACCCTGCCCCAGCCCCAGGAGCCTTGCCACACAGAGCATCTAGGAGTGAACAGATGTTCTTTGCACGGGGACGAGGCCGCTGCTGAGCCCGGGCACCGTCTGGGCAGCACAGAGGGCCTGGGATAAAGGAAATGGAGAGAGGGACGGGAGGGGAAGAAGCCAGCCATTCGCTGAGCTGGTTGTTCTCTGCCCTCTCTCTTCTCACCCCTTCCAGGTGACATTCACCCTGCTGCAGAGAGCCGCACCCCACCACAAGCCTCCCACGAGGGGGAGCTGTTCCAGGAGCTGAGCACAATTTTCCAAGGTGGGTATCTAAGTGACCACTCAGCTGCCCTGGGCTCTAGTCTGAGTATCCAGCTACAGAACTGTATTCAGCCTGCAGGTGCCAAGCATCATCGGTGAGCGTTGGGGTTGCCCAGCACTATGCAGGAGACGCCCTGCAGCTTACAGGCTCTGCTTTTACCTTCTGCTCCTAAATTCAAATATCGTGGCCACAGTTTGCATGTAACTTCTTTAGGACGTTGCTCTTGTAATTGGCTGGCCGTGATACCCACAGCTGTGCCGGGCAATCTGGGAAGGCCTGGGTGCTAGGGCCGACTGTGCAAAGTGGGAGTCTCTGACAGCCTGGGCCCATAGAGATAAGCCCGGACTGATCGGTAAAGGCTCCTGGCTGGAATTGGGTTTTAGATTTGGGGTTTGCATTAGATTACAGTGTCGGGACGACCCTCCTGCTTCCCCATTCCCCTCCCCTCTGGGCTCTGCGCTGCTTCACAGCTCAGCACTTCCCCCGAGGAGCAGCAATGAACACTTCAATCTCTTTGGTCACTCGACTACAGACCTAAAGGTCGCAATATTACAACAAAAAGACTTCAAAAACACACTCCAACGAGAGACTGCTGAATTGGAATTAATTTGCAAACTGGACACAATTAACTTGGGCTTGAATAAAGACTGGGAGTGGATGGGTCATTACACAAAATAAAACTATTTCCCCATGTTTATCCCTCTCCCCCACCCCCGTTCCTCAGACGTTCTTGTCAACTGCTGGAAATGACCCACCTTGATCATCACTACAAAAGGTCCATTCCCCCGCCACTCTCCTGCTGGCAATAGCTCACCGTACCTGATCACTCTGGTTACAGTGTGTATGGTAACACCCATTGTTTCATGTTCTCTGTGTATATAAATCTCCCCACTGTATTTTCCACTGAAGGCATCCGATGAAGTGAGCTGTAGCTCACGAAAGCTTATGCTCAGATAAATGTGTTAGTCTCTAAGGTGCCACAAGTCCTGTTCTTTCTACTAAGCTGTGCAGCAGCATCCTCAAGCGCAACGGGTCCTCTCCGTCTGCTCCCCTAGTGTTTGGGACCCAGGTGTCCGAGCTCTGCGGCATGGCATACAGCTTCCTCCCTGGAAGCCTCCATGCCCTGCTGCAAACTCCTGAGAGTCACAGTTTCCCACTCCCGCCCATTCTATGCAATGCTGTCGAGTGATAGCATTTCTCTGACACTTCTCTCAATTTATGGTAATACCGGTAGCAGTGTACTGCCAAAGACACAAGAATACAGCCTCATTAAAATACCTAAAGCTGCCTTTCCATTATTTGGCCCTTATCTCTGTGTGAACAGAAAGAGAAATAAAGAGACAGCTGTTTGCCAGGACTGATATACAGCACAAAGGGGGAGCAGGCGGTGGGGGGATGGACAGTGCATGAGGCAGGGGAGAACACAGGTGCACAGAGACAAAGCCATTTGCGATATTATCAAACCCCAGCAGGATCGGCCAGCTGGTGTGAGAGGTAACTGGGGAAAGAGACACACCAGGGGGAGGCCACGCACCCTCCGGCTGCTCCAGCCCAGCCAAGGTGCAGGGCGTTGGCCTGCAGGACCCTGGGAAGTGACCTTCCCTGCTTGCATCATCCTGCTATGATCCCTGATGGCGGGGCAGGGACTCGCGGCCCATCTCGGGAGGGAAGGGGAAACAGACTCCACCGCAAGACTCGGGTTCTGGGGAAGGAGACGGGAGAGCAGGGAAAGAGGAGCTGAATAAAGAAGGAAAGGGCCCAATCCTACAAGGTGCTGAGCTCCTACAACTCCCCGTGGCTCTGGCTCCTCCTCCAAGGAGCTCAGCACCACGGAGGAGGAAGTTCCCTTAGCTCCAGGGGCGGGGGGCTCACTGGGATAAAGTCTCTGGATTCAGCCTGCTGGAGACACGAACACCCTGGGCAAACAATAATAAAATGGCTCATCCCAGCGATGCCAGCCGACCGGGAACACTGCCTGGCTGCCGGCAGCAGCGGCAGGAGCAAAGGGAGGGCAGGAGCCTGGTGGCAGGGGAGTGCCCGTGAGCAGGACCCCACCTTGCGGGAGGGCACTCCCCTGGCCCCTGGCCTTGCGGGAGGGCAGGTCTGGTTGGCCAAAGGCAAATGCCAACAGATCTCAGGGACTGATTCCGAGGCAGAGAAGCCAAGCGCCGGGGTGGAGGGGTTACCTGGTTTGAAGCCCACGTCTGTTTGTCTGTCCAGTCCCGGTGATTGCGAATGTACCACCACTGGATCTCGAGCGAGTAGGAGGGGGAGCCGCTGCCTCGGAAGGAGCAGGCCATCTCCACGTCCTCCCCAGCGTGGGCCGTCATGTCGTGCGGGGTCTCTGTGAACAGGGCTGCAGGGGAGAGAGAAGGGAGAGCCAGCCCCCCGTTAGGGACTGCAGGGCATGCATCCTCAGCTGGCCAGACCCCTTCCCACAGCCCCCTGCCTCTGCTGGCCACGGCACAGCCTGCGCCCAGGCCCGTCAGCAGGAGGTATTCACTGGAAAGATCCCATCCCCCGGGGCTGAGGAACGGAGACTGGCCGCCACCTTCAGACCCACTGAGGCTTTTCTGCACCAGTGGGCGTCAGCCCAAGCCGAAGCCATCTGCCTTGTGCAGCCTCCGTGTTCATTTAACTCTGGGCTACACGGCTTAGCCCTAGCCCAGGGACCGAAAGATACCAGCTTCTGTGTGGAGAGTCTGCCCCAGCGTATCCCATCCTGGGAATGATCCTTTCCGTACAAACAGGGTCATTCAAGTCAAAGATGTCTGCTGGGCCTGGTTCACCTCTCACATTCGCCAGTTCTACACCTGAAAACCTTCATTGGCTCCCCGGTGCTTTCCGCAGACTCCTGCCCGTGCGATCAGCACCAGACCCATGGGCTTTTTAAAAGAAGAAATATCCGGCCTGAGAAAGACCCAGCAGCATGCACAGGAGAGCGAAGGGGGCCTTTCGGATCCTGCTCTCCCAAGCCGACTGTTCCTGGGTGCTTCCCGTTCCAGGACATGCAAGATGTCTATGTTACAGGATCTCTGCCCAGTAAATCCAACACAATCCCAGCGCTGCCTAAATCGAAGTATAAATGAAAAACAAATCCTCATTTAATGCCGCCCCAAACAGTCTCCCACACGCCATATGGTTTGCTTTTCTCTCGCAAAACAAATATTGTTCAGAGGTGTCATTAGAATTCTTTTCCTCGTCTCTGGAGAGTATTGTTCCCCTGTCAAGTGTCTGCAATGGGCAGGTCATTCCGGAAATGCTATTGTCACAATCAATGATATATCCGACCGACAGCTTCTACCCTGTCAGGAGATTCCACCCCGTCCCCACCCTCTTTGGTTAGACTCCCCGGGGCTGAAAACTCAAAGCCTTCCAGAGTTTGGAAGCCCCCACGCTTCCAGGCTGAACAGGTAACTTCCCTCCCAGGAGTGTTTCATTTGGGTGAAATGCGGGCAGCTACTTTATCAGAACCAGTTCATCCCGCCCTGCTCTGTGCTGACTTTCCAGCCACCAAGATCCCCAGAGCTGCCCCTCAAATCCTCCAACTCCTGCCCCAATGGCTTTTCCTGCCTCTGCGATTCATGCTCGGGAGCTGATTTCTTTAGAACTGCGTGCACCGCTTCCCCGTGGGTTTCTTGCAGAGTTCTGATCCAGGCTGAAAACTGAATTATTATCAGCCCAGACAGAAAAGTTAATACCTTTGCTATCTCTCCGTCCCTCTGGACGCATGGAAATCCCGTAGACTTATCGCTTTCCTTTAATCCATTTTAGCAGGGGAGCTCAGGAAAATACATTGCATAAGGGGCTTAACAGGCATCCCCGTCTCCTTGCTGAATTCCTGGCAGTGCTCCTCCCAGGCCACCCATTCAACTAAGGGACCCCAGACACAAAGAATTACAAAGGCTTCAGTCAGTGCAGGAAGGGATCCCAGGGATTCCATAACATCCAAGCACTGGAAATAAGTGCGAATTACAGGTCTGCGTGAAAGCGCTCTCTTGATTCAAGCTGGCTACATAAAAAGGATGAATGGCCCCTGTCTCCTGGTTCCAGCTACGCCACGACACACAGCCAAGGGCTGCGCTTCTTGCTCCTGCAACATCAGTCCTGGGGCCATTACCATGAAACAATTAAACAACAATGACGCTAACGTTCTCAGATTATGGCCTAATCAGGATCTTGCCCTCCAGTTCCAACATCAGCAAAAAGTACAACCGATGGATTTCTCTGTCTGCAGCTTGTGTGTCAGTTTCCTGCTTACGGGGTCCAAGGGCCACTGGCAGCCAGGGTACGGTGCAAACTCCTCCCGCTGCTCTGACGGTGTGCTTTAATTCTCATCCACAGCCCCACCTATATGGCCCTCAATGCCCCAAACCCCAGCCCCCAGCATTCCTGCCCTTCCAGTCCTGGCCATGGCAGAGGGCCTTGCCAATGCTCCTCTCCTCCAACTTGCACAACCTCTGCTGTCCCAGCCCAGGCAGGAGGTCCCCAAGCTGTGTTGCCCTGCACCTCAGTCCTGTGAGCAGAAGCCCTGCTATCCCAGTCTTCAATCTCTCTACAGCAAAGAGCCCGGGTTTGGCGAGGTGGAAACCGTCCACCAGGGGCTTGAACAAGGTTCTCCTCTGTTGTGAGTGAGGCAGAGTCTGAATCTACAGCAGGTCTCCGAAGGGGAGGGCTCGCACGTTAGGCCCTGGCACGGTGTACAGAGGGAAGACTGGTTCATTGCTGGAAGGTAAAGAGCCATCCTTAAGCTGAAGTACTGCTATCCCCAGTTCACAGATGTGGAAGCTGAGGCCCAGAATGGTTATGTGACCAGCCCAAGGGCACACAGCAAGAACGCAGCAGAGCTGGGGTTCAGAGCCAGGTTCCTGATGCCCAGCCCAGCATCTCAATTTGCCTCCTTCAGTTCACAAGAGCATCGTTCCATGACACCAGAGGAGCACGGCAGCATCTCTGTAAGGAACAAGGCAGCCACTGGTGGTTCCTCATTTCCCCTTCTATAAAACACAGCGTCGGTGTGTGGCAGCCCGACGGGTCGGCTTTCCTCTGCCCATCGGCTGCACGAGTCCAGCTCTGGCAGTGGCAGCGAGGGCTCACCAGGCCCCACTCCAAGGACAGAGGGCACCAGCTTGCTTTGGAGCCTCAGCATTGCTCGGCAACGCTCGGGAACTGCTCCCTATGGAGCCAGCCAGGACTATGGGGGAGCCTCCTCTCTGGGAGCAGCCTGTCTCCAGGACACACAGCTCACACAGCTTCCACCTTCCTGGGTCTGACCTCGGAGCATTCAGCATCCTCTGCCCCTCCGTGCGCTTCCCACAGCGAGTCCGCCCAGGCGGGCTCCTGGGGAAGCCAGAGGGTCCTGCCCCCCAACTCCTCAGTCAGACGGGACTCTCAGCCAGCCAGGAAAACAGAAGGTTTATTAGACGACAGGAACATGGTCTAATTCAGAACTTGTAGGTACAGAGAACACGACCCCTCAGCGGGGTCCATTTTGGGGGGCAGTGAGCCAGACAACCCCGTCTGCACTTCACTCCTCGTCCCCAGCCTGCCCCAAACTGACTCCCCCTCCAGCCCCTCCTCCTCTGGGCTTTGTCCCTTTCGCAGGCCAGGAGGTCACCAGATTCCTTTATTCTCCAACCCTTTAGCTCTTACCTTGCAGGGGGAAGGGCCCAGGCCATCAGTTGCCAGGAGACAGAGCGTCGGCCATTGATGTACCCTGGCCCTTTGCTCTGCAACAATTACACCCTCTTATCCCAATACCTAGAGACTTAAATGCATAGGGGAAACTGAGGCACCCCTACAGAATTCAGAGGGAACATTAAGAACAGTCCCACTTTGTCACATGCACAAAGCCTTGGGCCGGACCCTGGCTCACACCCTGAGCCCCAGTGGTACCCGGGAGAAGCTGCGATTTATGCCTCTCTCTGGCGGGGAACTGCAGTTCCCCCAACACTAAACAATGCAATGTAAAAGTAAATGACTATCAAGTGAGTGGGAAGCATTTTCCTTAATGAGTACATCCTACCGGGACTCCTGATTTCAATGCCACGTAAGTTCTTATTAATGCTGAGCAGCTTGTTTTCAGCATCTGCATTATTTGTTCTAAACACTGTACAACACAGCGACGAGAGCCTGTCGTAACGCCGGCTGACCCTGTCCCCAGCTGTCCAGAACCCTGCTTTCTAAGGTGGAGTCTGACCACGGCCTCATCCTCACCTAGCACTACCCATGCCCCAGTTCCCCTGTGCACACAGAATTAGTGACCCTGGAGGGGAATGTTGAGGCTGAATTATCCCCAGTGGAATCCGGACAAGAAACCTCAGGGCTGCGCCTTTCATCACAAAACGCACCTCCCCAGCTGCTTTTCACCTGTCCACCCAGGACACGTATTGCCCGAGCGCCCTGGGGAGTGCGATCTAACCTATGTCCTCCAAGGGAATCTGCTTTAATTATAGAGTTTAAGGGGTGTAGATTGTGCTGGGTAGCCTGAGGGCTCAAGCCCATGTCTAAATTACTCGGGACACAATTAAAATCAGCTCCCACAGACTAGAATTTGGCAGATGAGCAGAGAAAAGGTTTGATTGAATCAAACATCTTCTTTCTTTCCGGTTTTAACTGGGAAGTGTGCGTATTAATTAACCTCAGGGCTCGGCCTTCTCAAAGGGCATCCGAACCAAAACCAGAGCTGCCGGCACTGAACCGTTCCCCTCCTCTGAGGTCAATAGGACGTCCACCCCCATGGAACCAACATCTCACCCGTGGGAAACACGCAGCCCCTCCCTTGGGCTCCCTCTGCCTCCTCTTCAGCTCCACCTGGAACCTGGAGGAGGAGATATCCCGGCTGGAGGTGACACCAGCCTTTAGGAGAGCTTCTAGGGGCCATTGCTCCACCTCTTGGAGGTCTGACGCTGTGTCTCCGGAAGGAAAGTGGCCATGAAAGCCCCCGCGCACAACACCATATGGAACCGAGAACGAAAATTCAGACTCCCTGAGACGCCCCGTCTAGAGACAAGGGCAGGTCCCTAACAACTGCCTTCTCTGAAGCCTCCCCAGCACTGCAGAGGACGCCAAGACGAGACGGGACCAGGCCCTTCTGCAGTGAGACAGAACGTGGTCCCCAACGCGCTGCTGTCACTCTCTGTTGACTCTTCTAGGGTTACAGGGCAGATTTACAGTGGTGTGACCAAGACCCCCATCTGGCCTCTATGTTCGTTCCCTTCCGGGTTCCCTCCAGCAGTACCATGAAGTAGAGATCTAGAATGTCGGCGCCTCCCCTTCCTGAATTCAGGTGTAGCTAGGATCTAGAGCTGCATCAAGACACCACAGCTCAGGGCACTCTCTGCAATGGGGCTTCCA